TCATCATCATCATCATCATCATCATCATCATCATCATCATCATCATCATCATCGTCATCATCACCATCATCATGTGGTTTGCTTCTTCTTTCCTATCAAACATCTATTGTCCTAATCCCCCCTTCTTCTATGTTTGTTACTCTCTTGTAACAACTCTAATCTTCTGGCGCTCATATAACCTTATGCAGTTGTGAACGGCGTAAATCATCTACTAAAAACTAGAAAAAAAGAATTAAACACTTTTGCCGTTTGTTTTCTTTGCTTAGAACAGTTGAACCGCTTGCCAAGGATATAGGCTGCTGCATTGTGTCATCAAGAGTTGTTATGTTAAACAATTTGTATATGTATAGTCATTAGGAATAGAAGTCCATTCACACTACATACACAAAGGTTGCCTTGTGGGCAGTTGACTGGTGCTCTAGTGCGATTTGCTCTTTTTCTTCTACTACACGCAATCTTTCCTCCTTATCTTTCCTCTTCATCTTTCCTCCTTCTTTCGTTTGTATGTTACTTTCAAGTTTCTAGCAACACCTCTCCCTAATCTTCGGGTTCTGCAAATGCCATAAACCTCTTTCTAAAATTAAATGAATAAGTAAATAAATAAATAAATAAATACGTTAATGAATGAATGAATGAATTAACGTAATCTTGTTCTTACCGAGTGTGCACCATTATGACTGGTTCCATGCCTCGATCACCCGATTGGATTATCAGATCCGACGAATCAGTCGAGTGCCCACCCCACTTTACGATTACCACATTGCCTGCATGCCCACTGGCTTGTGACCACAGTGTGTCTTAGCCTCTCACCACGACCTTAATTCTGTGCCATTGAGTGGGTGTGTGTGTGCTCGGGACCCGATTTTTAAAACTCGTCAAGGTAGGATTTTATATCTCAGCATTTTCTTTCTTGATTAACAATTACAGCTTTAACTTAGATGCGTACATGCTAGCGTCTGTGTTGATGCGGTTAGAGGCTTCACTTACTTTTTGTTGCATTCCGGAGACCTGAGTTCGATTCCAGAGTGGAAGATAATTCTTAATGAGTATCTCTGTTTTTCTGGTGGGGTGTTGTATTCCTCTCAGCCCGGGTTGATCCTGACAAGCAGCCTCATAGTCCGGCTCCTAAATGATCTAAATCGTGTCGATAAGGACGCAAAACACCTACTTAAAAAAGAAAATCAGATTTGTTTAAATGTGTCTATTGTGTTGATCAGTGAAAGAGTGGCCCGTTCGTCTTGTTGGTATCATGGTGGGCTCTGGTTTGGATGGCCTCAGTTCGTATCCCCGATGGGACGTTCTGGAACTTTAGGCTTTTTTGTGTTTAAGGCCGTTTGCTTCATTCTCCAACCTTACTACGTCACTGGCTCAGATGACGCGTCGGTCGGTGGCCTAGTGGTTAGGTTACCGGGCCCGTAATTGTGATATTGCGGGTTCCGGGGTTCGAGCCTCTGCTCGGTCCGACGTTGTGTTCGGAAAAGCACTTTACACTAAGTTCCTGTTGGCTCGGTCCATTCGGAAATTCTGTCTCTTAAGTAGCCTAATAGTGTAGGTAGGCGTGTTAAACAAATGTGAGATGTGCTGACAAAATGAGTTACTTCTCGGATTTGAGCATTATGTAAATTGATACCACAACCTGATAGGTGAGGTTTGTACTATTTGTGAGCATGGAATAGTTAAAGACATAGTTAACTTGAACAAAATGGCATCAATTAAAAATGTATAAATCTGAACCCAGTTTTGATTTTCAGCCAATATCTCCATTCTTGGATCGTGAGAAGTAAATCATTTTGTCAGCACATCTCACAAATAACATATCACCATATTTCCAAGCTCATATATTTCCAAGCTCAGATGTATCTGAGACGGTCGTTTAACTAAGTCGTCTTCACACAGTTGCAGAAGGCGTCAAACATAAAAATATGTGTGGGTGGTTGGCAGGTACTCTGGTGTGGTTTGCTCCTTCTTTCCTATCAAACATCTGTCGTCCTGGTCTCTCCTCCGTCTCTTTTTATGTTTATTACTCTCTTGTAACACCTCTATCTTCGGCACTTATATGACCTTATTGTGTTGCAAATGCCGTAAAACTCTTACGAAAACTAAAACTAAAACATAATATATATGTGTGTGTGTGTGTGTGTGT